AGATCACATCATTGCACTCCAGCCTGGGTAACAAGAGCGAAACTCCGTTTCAAAAAAAAAAAAAAAAAATGAAGAACCCTTCATCATATGTTCTGTACTCAGAAGGATCCAAGGCAGATTTTCTTTTGGGTGCTGAATATGGTAGATAAGAAAATCCTAAAATTTACAGACGAAAATCTCAAGTACTAGAGCTCATGAATTCCCATCCCAGAAAGAGTTGTCGAAGAATACTAGAAAAGGGCCAGGTGCAGTGGTTGACACCTGTAATCCCAGCACTTTGGGAGGCAGAGATGGGCGGATCACCTGAGGTCAGGAGTTTAAGACCAGCCTGGCCAACATGGTGAACCCTCATCACTACTAAAAATTACAAAAATTAGCTGGGCATGGTGGCAGGCCCCTGCAATCCCAGCTACTCCAGAGGCTGAGGCAAGAGAATCACTTGAACCCAGGAGGCGGAAGTGACAGTGAGCAGAGATTGCACCACTACACTCCAGCCTGGGGGAGATTTCGCCGGGCCCCTCAGGGGTTTGAATTTGCACCCCAGTCTTAATAGGTACTTCATGCATGGCTATCTGCTCTCCAGGTAGACTGTGAAGTACGTGGTGTATGGCATCATATCTTTACCTGTTTTTAAGCAGAATGATTTTTTTCAGTGCCAGACGTCTGATTTTATTTATTTGAGACAGGGTCTGGCTCTGTCACCCAGGCTGGAATGCTCACTGCAACCTCTGCCTCCCGGGTTCAAGTGATCCTGCCACCACTTCAATTGTATTGTACACCAGGGGTGTCCAGTCTTTTGGCTCCCCTGGGCCACACTGAAAGAAAAATACTTGTCTTGGGTCACATACAAAATATACTACTGAGGCCTCGCACAGTGGCTCACACCTGTAATCCCGGCACTTTGGGAAGCCTAGGCAGGTGGATCATTTGAGGTCAGGAGTTTGAAACCAGCCGGGCCAACATGATGAAACTCTGTCTCTACCAAAAATACAAAAAATTAGCCAGGCATGGTGGTGCACACCAGTAGTTCCAGCAACTCAGGGGGCTGAGGCAGGAGAATTGCTTGAACCAGGGAGGTGGAGGTTGCAGTAAGCTGAGATCACACCATTGTACTCCAGCCTGGGTGACAAAACAAGACTCTGCCTAAAAAAAAAAAATTAACGATAGCTGATGCACTAACAAAATTGCAAACAAATCTCATAATGTTTTAAGAAAGTTTACAGATTTGTGTTGGGCCGAATTCAAAGCCGCCCTGGGCCTCGGGTTGGATGAGCTTGGTGTACACCAAACCACTCATCATCTCCTCCCCGCTCCACCTCCTTCCTCCCGACCTCTCCACTTACCCCTCACCCACCCTCTCTGCTTAACTTTCCTAGTTCTCAGCAATACCAGCTTCCTTTAAGGTATGAAATTGCAGGGATGCCCACGTCGCCTTCTTCCATGCAGCCACCAGGTGACATCCCTTCTTTCAGTATTTTCTTCAGCTCCACCTCTCCCTTTGCTTTTCTCGAGACTGAGGGTGAGCTGGTTGTAGAATGATGGCCCCTTGGCATGGTGCCTTTTCTCTGTGAGACTGAGGGTGGGCTGGTTGTAGCAGTGATGGCCCCGTGGCATGGTGCCTTTTCCCTGTGAGACTAAGGGTGAGCTGGTGGTAGAATGATGGCCGAATGGCATGAGCTGGTTGTAGCAGTGATGGCCCCGTGGCATGGTGCCTTTTCCCTGCATCTCTCCCACCCCACCTTCCCAGGGTCTCTCCTGTCTCCTGCTGCCCTTGGCCTCCTCTGCAGTCTGTCCCAGCAGCCCTGGAATGCCTATGCCCAGGGTCACATCCAGGAGAAGCTGTGCCAGCCGACCACTTAGGGTGAGGAGAAGGGAAGAAGCTCCCTCCCTGTGCATATGCCCAGGACCAATCTATGCCCAAGGGCAGCCTGGCCCCTCCACCTGCAGCTGTCAGCAGGCCCTACTCCTTCTGGACTGCAGCAGATGGATGCCTTCCTGGGCTCCAGAGCTAACTCAGGGACCTGGCATGGGGGTCCAGTGACTGAGCCTCTTTGATGCCACTAGGCCCAAGGGTTGGGAATTGGGGAAGTGTTCTGTGTGCTGAGGTGGGAGAGGGTGCAGAGAAAGGCCAGAAAGCAGCTGGGCAAGGTGGCTTGTGCCTGTAATCCCAACACTTTGGGAGGCCGAGGCAGGTGGATTACCTGAGGTCAGGAGTTCAAGACCAGCCTGGCCAACATGGTGAAACCCCATCTCTACTAAAAGTACAAAAAATTACCTTGGCATGGTGGTGGGCGCCTGTAATCCCAGCTGCTTGGGAGGCTGAGGCAGGAGAATCGCTTGAACTCAGGAGGTGGAGGTTGCAGTGAGCCAAGATCATGGCATTGCACTCCAGCCTGGGCGACAAGAGCGAGACTCCCTCTAAGAAAGAAAAGAAAAGAAAAGAAAAAAGGAAGGAAAGGAAAGGAAAGAAAGAGAAAATGTCAGAAAGCAGGAGGGCTCTACCTCAGGGGGATCCCAGTGCCCTGTGGTCCAGGGACTGCTGAGCATCTCAATGCCAAGGAAGGCCTGCTTCTTGCATGATGGTTACTTCATTTTATAGCTAATACTTGAGTAAACTTAGAATGACCACAAACTCTTGTTTCTCATCCTATCTTTATTTGCAAGTAGAGCATTTGCTTTACACATAGTTACAAAGTCAACATGT